ACAAAAAAAAAAAAAAAAAAAAAAAAAAAAAAATCCCACGTGCTGCAACTAAGACCTGGCGCAGCCTAAATAAATAAATAAATAAATAAATAAACTATTTAAAAAAATAAATCAGGACTACAGATTGGAACTTTGACCTTTCTTTCCTCAGGGTCTGCACGTTTCCAATTCATATCCTCTGTTTTACTGATAATCTGGGAGGTCTCGTGTTCAACAGAAGCTCTCTGGGCAGATCCAATACTGCAGATGGGGCTATGTTTCTTCTCATTCTGTTAAAAAAATTTCCTGGCAAAATCATGAGCAGATAAAAGTCTGGTTTATCAGAGTTCACTAGGACTCTTCAACAGATTGCCATAATCTTATGTAAGTGCATGTCATTATTAAGAAATCTACAAACCCACTTCAGAGCTGCAGGCAAGAGATGGAGAGATGTTCTCTGGAAGTGGCTTTAGGGTTATCTCTCAGTCTGCCTGGTAATCCAGGCACTACATTCCTACCCATTTCAGTAAACACTAGATGTCCCTTTTTCTGATTTGATGTTACCATGTAAAAGAAGGATAGTGAGAGTGATTCGATTAAAATGAAAATGGAGCCTGAATGTGATTAGTGAGCTTTCTTGATAATGGTGACAAGCAGTGAGTGCAGGATGAAAGTGTGGAGGACAGGGGATGGGGGTGGTGTGAGTTAGAGCTCTTCTGGTTATAAAGACGCAGACACCTAAACTCAACACAGACATTCCCGTTGCTCGGCTCAAGAGCTAAGCAGGAAGGACTTGTTAACCACTGAAACAGGCAGCAGAGCGCAGCGGGCCCCAGAGGCAGCTCAGACTGCGTCCTCGGGACTCAGTTTCTTTCTCTCCACTTCCAGGCTACACTTTCTCAGACTCTATGTGGTGGCCAGAAGGCTTTAGCCACCCAGACTCTAATTCCTGTTGGATCCAGCCCAGCAGAAAAAGGGCAGAAGGGCCTTCGTCCAGGAATTCACAGTGCAAGGCTATTGGTTTCATTGGTTCTGACTTGACCGCATGCCAGCCTTTGAACCAACCAGAGTGGCCATGGAAATGTGACCCCTTGGATCAGCCTTGAATCACCAGTCTGCCTCTGGGAGCAAAGAAGGACATAAACTGAGAGCGGGAGGGGAAGTGGCTCTGGGTGCCATTTCCAAAAGAGGGTGCATAGCTCTAGGTGGCAAAAAGGACAGCGACTCACTGTGGGGTGGAGGTGGGGAGACTGGTAAGTCCTGATGAGACAGACGCAAGCTGGTGGAAGGAGAGGCGCTGGAAGAGTAAGAAAGAGGCCGACACCCTGTGCCAGGCCAAGGAAAGAGAATAATGGGATTCCCTAAAATGGTGTCTTGTCCTGCCAGAGCTCATCGTCACCATGTCACCTTGAGCTCTGGGTCTCAGCTTCTTACCTGTACAGGGAAGGGAATAAGAGCAGGTCGGTGGTTCTTTACTGGAATATGCATCAGAGTTACCTGGAAAGCTGTTTTCAAATGACAGAGGCCCCAGAATCAGTGCTGTTGCCCACCCCCAGGGAGAGCCATTGGGAAGAACTCTGAGGCCATAATCAGGGCAACCCCTGCAGTCACCAAAGGTGTACGGCAGTCCCAGGGGACAGAAACATTTACCTCCCAGAGTCAAAGGTGATAAAAGTGGCATAATAATTCCTCCCAAACACCTCCCTGGAGATGTACAGATATAAACTTTAAAAGGTGTGCTTTCTGTCCATCAAACGTCTGCCTAGAGCAGCAGTTCTCCAAGTGTGGTCCACCAATGTTTGGGGGACCCCAAGATCCTCTCAGAGAGTCCGTAATGTCAAAACTATTTTTATCAATTGCCTTTTCTAACCCGTTGACATTGTAAGTAACCTTTAAGAAACTACCATTTGTTAAGTTTTGTTCTATTATTAAAAAAATTAAAAAATTCACATTTACCTGAAAGGTCTATAAAAACATTCTTCCTTTTCCCAAAGACTTATCTGTTTGAGGCCAGAGATTCTTCCTACACTTCAAAGGAAATAATATATCACCACAGATTGAATACAGAAGCAGGAGTGAGAATCCAGATGTTGTCTATTAAGCCAGACACTTAAGAGATTTACAAAATGTAAAACAATGCCAATATTCTCACTATTTTTTTGTTTTGTTTTGGAGAATGGGGTTATCTTTCACAAAAATATGTCATTTACACAAACACATAATGACTTTATTACTGTTATGTTTAAAAGAATTAAATGTTTTCTCAGTTTTACTTTCTAATGCAGTAAATATCAGTAGATATAACTCACATAAACAAAAGCTCTTTGGGATCCCCAGGAATTTGAAAGAGTAAAAAAGGGCCCCGAGGCCAAAAAATTTGAGTGACCCAGGACAAGAATTTCAGTGAATCAGGTCATTGGGACCATTTTTATACCTAAACGCCCCAAGCTGGAGGAACTGCCCACCTGCTTACACAAAGAATGAGCCCGAACCACAAAACAGACACCCCCTAGCCCCTGCATAGCCTGATCTGTGCTATAAAACCTGAGGAAATGGGGACGATTCAGTGGATTCTTGGCCGAACATTTGTTCTTGCTCAAACATTTGTTCTTGCTCATTACTCCCACATCTGTTAAGTGCGGCCCTTTGAGATTGCAGTCAGCATGTAACTCTTCTTTCAGCCACTAGATGGCACTGTCTGCATAGAAAATACTTCAGCAAGGGGTGCATCGCGCTGTTTTCCAGAGATTTTTGATGGGGATGAATGAGGAAGGTTTGTTTGGACCATCTTATTCTGACACACACTGAATGTATTAGGATAACTTTCCCTTTTGTTCCTGTAAAGCTCTAACCTTGAGACCACTGATAGCAGGGTACTGGTAAAAAAGAGCTTTCTGATAAATATAAATCTGGTGTACAGTACAACCTAACTCATTTTAGTTATTCCTCCATAGCAGGGGTTCTCAGCTTTAGCTGCATATCAGAATCACCCAGAGAATATAAACACCAGATGCTCTGCCCTTATCCCAAGTAGTCAAATCTGTTTTCTGGGGGGTGTGGTCCAGGCACTGGTATTTTTGAAAACTCCCCAGTGGGCAGGTAAGGTTGAGAATCCTAGTCCTATAAACATTGTCATTAAGAAAACCACCCACTAGCCCGTAAAGAAGAGATACTGACTTTTTCTTGTGTCTTCATTAAATTCTCTTAATCCTACTACATTTAATTTCCCCCATCATTTAAATCTTAGCCAATAATCTGGGGAAAGGACCCAGGAAAAAAGGAGCAAAGCAAACCTTTGAACCAACTCAGGTAACCAGAAGCACCGGAGTTTACTCTCTTAAGAATGTCTACATGGAGAACTTTCTGTGTGGAGGTAAAGGTGAGAAAGAATGCCAGTGCCTAAATTAGGATATAAAAGAGTCTCAGGGGGCTTCCCTGGTGGCGCAGTGGTTGAGAGTCCGCCTGCTGATGCAGAGGACGCGGGTTCGTGCCCCGGTCTGGGAGGATCCCACATGCCGCAGAGCGGCTGGATCCGTGAGCCATGGCCGCTGAGCCTGCGCGTCCGGAGCCTGTGCTCTGCAACAGGAGAGGCCACAGCAGTGAGAGGCCCACGTACCGTAAAAAAAAAAAAAGTCTCAGAAATATAAGAGGCATTAGAGAAAGAGGGACAGGAGTCCTTAAAAGAAAATGCTCCCAAGTATCTGACAACATTTACTTCCCCATCTGACCTTTCATCTAACCAGGGGCTGAGAATTTTAGAATCACCTGGGGAACCTTAAAAACAGAGCCTTGAGCTTCACCAGTAGAGGCTTAGATTTAGTAAGTCAGGAGGGGTTAACACGTGTCTTTCTTTAAAAAGCTCCTAGGGTGATTCTAACATGAAGCCGGTTTGAGAACCACTGACCCAAAAAAAAGCCAAATCAGCTCTTTTCCAGACTGCGTGATAAATTCCACACCCTTAGGGGATTCTGATTTAAATAACTCTCGGTAAAGCCTGGTTTCATGAGCAAATGTAATCTAAGTTCAAATCCATTCTTATAGCATTATATCACATTCCATTTTATGACACCGTGTGTGTGAGTAGGAAGATGGATGATCAGAGTTATTACTGTACCTGTAACTCTTTTGTTTTTGCGGTACGCGGGCCTCTCACTGTTGTGGCCTCTCCCGTTGCGGAGCACAGGCTCCGGACGCGCAGGCTCAGCGGCCATGGCTCACGGGCCCAGCCGCTCCGCGGCATGTGGGATCTTCCCGGACCGGGGCACGAACCCATGTTCCCAGCATCGGCAGGCGGGCTCTCAACCACTGCGCCAACAGGGAAGCCCTGTACCTGTCACTTTTACTAGCTAAATTATGTTCATCTTCATTTATCCTTTCTCCTGAGAAAAGACTGGTTATGTCAGTTACATATTATTTCCAAGAGACCTCCTGCGGAACAAATCTCCAGTTTCTCCAGACCCTGTAATATGACTGTATCTTTTTCAGCCCCTGGATGCTTTCTGTGTGAACAATGCAGGCTCCTTCTTTGGCAAATGGATGCAGCATCTCTGCTCGGGGAATGGCAATGGGCGACACCATGCTTGAATCACCTGTCCTTAAGGAAGTTACAAAGCCTCTCCACCCTCTAGGACCAAGACCCCTTCCATAATGGCACAGTGGTGGAGCCCACCCACAAAAAGGGCTACCTCGTCATCTTGCATTAATGCCAATCGTGGCTTCTGAACCTGGTGACTGAACGTTCTATAGGAATTAGAACAAGGCTAACACACTTTTATTCTATTTGTTCCTTGCATTGGTTATTCTCTGCCACATCTCACCACCCCCCCCCCAATTCATTCCCTCCTCGCCTATGGTGGGGAGACTGACTCCTACGCTCTCTCTCTCTCTCCCCCCCCTCTCCCCCCCCCCTCCCCCCCCCCCCCCCCCCAATTCATTCCCTCCTCGCCTATGGTGGGGAGACTGACTCCTACGGACTGTAACCCTGGCTCCCTTGTCCTCTGGCTGCTGGTTGGATTTGTCCAATGGGAGATGCAGGCAAGAGATCAAAGGGTGGGAGGAGAGAGAAGCTGAGATATTTCTTCCCCTGCCCCTTCCCGCTTGAGTGGCGCAGCACCTAAGGGTTGCACCCTTACTTGACTGTGAGGGTCTCTCTCTATGAGAGTCCCCTCCTGTGGGAGTTCCCTTTTTATGTGAGCTCCCTACCTACAGAAGCCCTTCACGTGCAGTCTCTCCCTTCTGTGGCAGCCCCCTCCTCTCCCCTCCAGCTCTCATAAGACCCCAGAAACCCAGT